ATTCTTTAACCGGTGTGACGCAAGTTAATTATACCGAAATAACTTGTACAATCCCAAGAGTTTTGTTATGATGAAATTCGTCCTGTATTCACGTTTGCCTCTATATTATCACTATTAGCACTATTACTAAAAGTACCATATTGTCCCTAAAGCAGCCTACTTTCTGTAGACTTTTATGGCAATCCGTCTGAACAGGATATCCCATCATGAACGGGTATAGATTGTACAACTGTAGAGAAGCGTACTCAAGTCGCTCCACTTTTTGCTTGGCTTTACAGTTTGCCTGGCCCGCAGCCACCACCTCTTTTTCGAGCTGGACTAGCTCCGCAGTCAATTTCTCGTTTCGCCGATCACATTCACATCTTGTCTGGATCATTTGAAGCTGTTCCTTTCGAGCAAACTCCAACGACTCAGTCAGCTTCAATAGGTTTTGGGTCGCATCTGCCTTTTCCAGCTTCCAATCAGCATTCGTCTATTTGGCAAGAGTATAAATAGGGAATGGAAAGAGGAAAGCGACAGAGTAAAGTATTATAATTATATACACATATATAAATATAAATATATATATTATAATTATATACATACATACATACATATATATATATATAATTAAATAATATATTTAGTATTATAATACACATTTTTCACGATAATTATATGACATATATAATAAAATAACAAATAATATTTGACATAAAATAATATATTACACTATGGTTTTCCCCTGTTTTAGCAAATTGTTAGTGACAAGCAGCTAATGATGTGAAATTTGTACCTTTTGGCGAGTAGTGGCTCTGCTAAAAATGACACTATTCTTTGATAATGCCTGCGAAACATCCGAGAATGTACTCAGTCACTGGCCCACTGTTGAAAAGAAGCAGGATAACACTTTCAGTGGACGCAGTTCGAAGTAAGTTACAATGAAAATTTCGGGTTGAGTAGATTTCGAAACGACCAGTATTTCTTGAATAATAGCTCTATTCAGTGTAGGGTGAAAAATCTTATTTTATTCTGGGCTAATATAAGCTTTAAAGACTTTATTAGAACACTGGACCATGCTAAGAAAAAATAGCCATAAAGCCATACTAATTTACCAATAAATACAATAAGCTCTTTGGTCTGTCTTATTAATCTTACCTTTCAGAAAGTTTCTACAGAACCCAGCCAGACCATGCTAGTGACAAGATTGCAAAAGGCCCTTTAAAAATTGAAAGTGTCGTTAAGACCTCCGCAAAACAGGAAATGAGATAAATGCTAAAACAGGCGAAAGCTTCGCGCCAAAAGGTAGGAGCTACTAGAGAATTTGCTCACCTTCTCGATAAGAGTCTCCTTTTCCTCAACTAAACTTTTAAGTTCTTTCATCTTGTCTCTAAGTCCATTTACTTGATTCTCCTTAACGGAAGCCTTCTTTTCCAAGTCGCCAGCAGTACTGAGCATTTCCATTCTCTTGATCTGGGCTCCTTTGTTCGCCTCCTCAAGATCGGAAATGTCTAACAGCAGAGAATTCATGATGCTGGCACGAGTTGAAGCCTCCTAAGCATAAAGATATTATAAGAAAGTTGATACAAGTTAACACGACAAATTCTGTTGGATAAGAATCAATTAACTGAAGTAATATGGTAAGCGTAGAGTAATAATGTTTAAACCAAACCTCAATTTATACGTTATCTATTGTATGTTTAGAATAATAAACAAATTAATATGCACTCACCAGAAGCTCAAGTTATTCTTATCAACAAAAAGCCCAATGCATTTGCTGCGTTATTAAGTTTCAGATAAAACCCACAGAAATCTGAAACATATGTTTTTTTTAGTTGACATTTTTACAGAAAAACCTTGGACATTAATTGATTAACTGTCGTATTTCAGAGTTAAATTCTAAAAATGTTCAGTTTTTAAAAGAAGGATTAACCTACAGTTCAGACTTAAGCTATACCAACCAAGCCTTGATAAATCCTAGCCATCTACTTCAACCAAAAGAACTCAGCTTCTGACACATTCGACACTTCTCGTAGTTCACGGAAACGGAGTTCAGTTGGGCTCGTGATCAAGCCATCAAAAAAAGAAGTGATCATTGAAATAACACAACTCCTAGCCAGCAAATTGCTTGTAAATAACACTATTTAACTGCCTCACTTTGCTGTACATCGGGTAGTTAAAGTGGAGGGATAACCAGGGAGATGAAACCCCATGAAGAAGGAAAAGAAGAAATTCCCGAATATCGTTCAAGGGCTTGCATCACACAATCTCACTCAAACTGGAAATTAGCTCAACCTCCTTAAATCAGGATAGTTATCAAAATCGCATATTGTCTGGATGTGAACTAAAACTGGTCCCAGCTATTAAGAATCCTATAAGATATACAGACACACATTAAATAGGGAATTAAAGAGGAGAGTTGATTTTGCATTTAACGTCACTGCAACATGTATCCTAAAAGGGTGTTCATCTCATTCGACCTCATCATTATTTTACCAGCATCTGTAGCGAAACTCGAGCTGATTCAGAAGCCAAAATTCAACCACCTAATCCAATTTAATCAAAGTAAATTTATAATTGTTCCATTGGAATATCCAGACGCCTTATCAGGGGTAAAATAGGCTTTCGCAATCGGCACAAATGGGCCACTCGATGCGATGCCGTGCTGTACGTCACAAATGCATACCAAAAGAGCTCATATTAAAATATCAAGAGAAAAAATGTACTAACATCATCTGTCATTGCTTGTAGATCTGAAAGTCGATTGCGCAGCCTCGACTCTACTTCTGCTGTTGAGGACCGTTCTGTGTCTAAAATCAGCTTAACACGCCCGTGTTCCTGAGCCATTTCTCTAAAGGTCTTCATCAATTCCTCAAGACGTTCAATAAGGCCAGATCGCAGGTCATCTGTTACACGAGCCTTCAGACGAGTGTCAATTACGGACTGTTGGCTGGCGGAAATGACATGTTCATAGAAAAGCAGAATTAAATAAGATTTATTGAATAAAGTAGCGTTATCCAGACTACCAGTAAATCAGTAATATAAGATTTATTCACCCAATTTCGTTTAAGGTGATGAAAGACTGGTAGAAGAAGAATTTTCCCACAATGATATGAGTTGAGATAACGTTTCAATTGAATTTCACCTAGAATTGGTCGTGGTTAGACTCCCGCTGAGGGTGTTGATAAGACCAATGCGAGGTCGATACTGCAGTCCACTGGTGCCTGGATGAGAAAAACTTTTGGGAAAGCAAGGCAATGTGAAATTCAATGGAAACGTCAGCTCAACTCATATCATTGTGGGAAAATTTTCTTCGACTAGTCCTTAATCACCTTAAGCGAAATCGGGTCAACACTTGTCATAGATTTATTGAGCCAGATAGGTCCACTATAAAAATAGTAAATACGAGTAGAAAAGTGGCAAGTGAATAATTACTTTAAGAAAGTGAAATTTCTGAATAAAAAATGGAGTCCTGATTAAGTGCTTGGTTACATTGAAATAGGATGCACAATATCTGAGGTATTCGGCTCAGCTCGTAAACCTCTGCTGATACCAAATATGAGATGTAATCCCTCAATTTCGTTTAAGGTGCTTCGGAGATTGGTAGCTGAATTTTTCCACAACCAGATCAAAAGATCTTACTTTTTCAATGCATTTTACATAACCTCGTTTTCAAAAAGCCATTCTCATCCAGGCAGAACTGGACCGCAGTTTTAATATTGCCTCGCTTGGGTCTCATCAGCATTCAAATCATGATAGTGCAGTGTAAAATCTCGACATGTCAACCACTACGCCTGACTGCCACGAGTCCACTTGGGCTATAGAGCAGATGTGAAGGACAGGCATTTTCCCATATCACATTCTGCGGTGAGATTGCCGATGAAGCAAAGTTATATTTGCCATAAAAATCGACTATATTACTTATTTTTCGTTTTTCTAAGTAGTTGTTCGAGACTACCAGTAGATCATATATATGATGTGTATTCGCCATATTTTATTATTGGTGATAAGTGGTTTGGTAATTTAATTTTTCCACAATGATATAAATAGACCCTGCGCTTCCATTTAATTTCAAATACACTTTCTATCAAAGAGGTAACAGCATCATGTATCAGTCTTTGTCCATAAGAGTCAAAGGCTATCAATGTGAGTTTGTAGGTGATTACCGTCTAGATTTTACTACATTTTCGACCTCACCTAGTTCTTATAAGAACTTTGTAATAAATTAAAATTATTTAATGGTAAATAAATGGTAGTAAGGCTCGAATTTTCATTTAGAAGGAAAAGTTGGTTGAAAAGAATTTGTGAATTACTCTCACCAGAAACAGATAAGGGAGAATTATAACAAAATGATTTTACGTAGAACTCCTCAGCTCCCGTTCTGCGACTCAGGTGAATACATGTATGAAAAGGTGAGTGGATGTGGCTACAGCATTTTCCTTACGTAAATAAACTGAAAAATTATCTTTAAATGCTGGTTCTTATTTAATGTTTGTGGATGAATGTACGCCGTGTATGCAATACACATGATTCAATTAATAGTTGCGAGCCCAGATCAGATAGTCGCAAGCACATTACTTCTACATATAAGATGTATTCACTCTATTTTACTTAGATGATGAAGGACTGATAGTTAATTTTTTCTCACAATGATATGAGTAGACCCTACATTTCCTTTAAATTTCACATGGCTTTGCTTCCAAAAAGTTATTTTCATTTAAGCTAGAGCGGAATGCAGTCTCGACCTCGGCCAAGCTGATCTCCTCGACGCCCCTAGCGGGACTCGAACCATGATAGTGCAACGTATGATCTCGACACGTTAACCGCTACGCTAGACTGCAGCAAGTGTCCTTGGGTCGCAGGTCAGATGTGAATTTCAATAGAGGCTAGACACTTTCCCATATCATGGAAAGAGTCCCGCTGGGTGTCTGGATATGACTTAAGCGAGGTCGAAACTGCAGTCCACCAAAGATGAGCATACCTTTTGAAAAGCAAGGCTGTGTGAAATTAAATGGAAACGTAAGACTTACTCATTTGGTAGTTTCTAAAATCTACTTGTTAACGAAAAAATACTTCCGGATCTTAGAAGGAAGTTCTTATTTGAAATTCCTTACACGAAGTAATTAGAAGACAGATAAAGCAGATAATTCTGCCTATTACACTCATGCATCTGGGACAGTCATGATAGTCTTGCTTCAAACTAAATAATTAACATAACTACTTGATTTATGATATCTGTTTTTCTCAGTTAAGTTAATGCAATTATTAATAATTAAATTTCCTACAATTAAACGAGTGGCTTGTCCCACGGATCCATTAAATACATCTCAACTATACTACCAGGATTCAAGTCTTGAGGGGGGTGATGATGAGACCTGGACGAGGTCGAAACTGCATTCCGGTCCGGCCGGGAGGAGAATACCCTTAAAGAAATGCAATTGGAGCATGAGGTTTACTGATATGATTGTGGAAAAATTCAACAACCATTCCTTTATCACCTCAGACGAAATAGGATGACCTCAGCTTTTATACCAGATGTGCTGGTAGTCGCTAGGAAGTAGGAAGGATTCGACATTCAAGAAAGCCTATCTAAAATAACTTTTCTATTGTGATTAACATTAATCAGATAAAATTGTATGCGCTATAGCAAACTACGATTTATTATATAGAAAAATTGTAGGCCCCAAACTATTAATAGATCCTGAATAAGAACTAAAAGCCATCCAGTTTCGTACCCAAATGAGGGTGCTAATGACAAATGATCGAGGTCTAAGAGCAGAATAGGCGGCATGAGACAAGGTTTTTGAATTTAAGACTGAGTCATATTTGATGTAACCGTGAGGTTTGCTACTCATCTACTTGTGGATACTTCAGATATTAGTTCTTGTATCACCTTTAAAAATTGAAGGTGACAAGTTTTCTCGCTCAATAGACCTGATTTGCCGAAAAAGTTAGGGGGCTGTGTACCTCAAAGAGGTCAGAGATGTGGCCTGGAGATAAAAAGCTTTCTCACTCCTTTGAAATTCCTTAGTCAGTGATTAAAACATAAATAAAACGATTAATTCCGTCTATTATGCTCATATATGTAGTACAGTAATGATGGTCTCGCTTCAAATAAAAACAGCATCTTGATTTATGATATTGCTTATTATAATATTACTGGTCATAAATAGATCGAAATTCGATAAAAAGACAGCATGCAATCAAAGAGTACAGAGTCTGGTGAATATTGTAGTGATGTCTATTTACAGTTACATAGTATCAGGACCGGGCAACTGACTGACTTGGATGGAGATATACGTGAAAATGAGTTTTAAAGATTGCCCTCATGCTTCAACCGAGTGCAAAGCATAGATTCAACGAAGTCATAAAATAGAACAACTATTCAAACATACCCACATACTCAAGCCCTACTTTTAAACACCTTTCAGTTTTTAAACGATTCTTTTGTTGAATCCATATAAAACACTACAGACCGGACGCTCGGTTTGTTTTTAGACAGTGGGCCCGACCCTATTTCGAATCCCGTCGATGCTGGTGATGAGACTCGGGCGAGGACGGTAAGACTAAATCACATTCAACTATACGACAAAGCTTTCTCGTCAGTTCAGAACTTGGATCACCAAACTATTATTGTCTATGGTTCTAAAGGAAATATTGACTAGATTTCTAAAAATGTGATAATCGGTTTTCTAACAATCAAATTTTAAAAATTATAGGAAAAAGTATTTAAGTCAATTTAGTAGAAGTGAATAGGTTACCTTATCATTAGTAACTTGGCTATAGAGGCATTAAATGACGAAGTCAATGAGTATTAGTGCAAATCTATTTTAAAGTCAATTGTCACCCTCAACCTCCTCTATTGTGGACAATATAAAGAGAATGAATTAAAGGTATGGACAAGGAAAGTGTTGAATCAATGAATGTAAAACCACAACACGAATGGAAGATGAATCTTTAAGTATCAAGAAATACGTGTTCGCAAACAATTTATATTGAGATGAATATTGAGTGAAAACAAGCCGCCTTGTAGATACAGGCTTCATTGAGAGAATCCGGTCACAATCAACTCACTCATTCTTTCCCCAATATTGCACAATAGACTAAAGTAAATAAGATAAAAATCTTAAATTTTCAATTACCTCACTTATCAGCATAATTTGAACACACCTGTTCGAAGCTGTGGGTATACTAGCCCAAAAATATCCCAAATTTGCCTCAAATGAAACGGGTCAGACTATTCACTGGGACATAGTAAGCTATTGCAAAATTAGCCCAAAAAAAATAACCAAAGATATGAAGACCAAGATATTTGGGCTCTCAGTATGATTGCATTCTCCTTTCGAAGTATAGAAGTGGGTTGAATTCGTTTTCGGCACTTGGTCCTTTTGACAGTGCATCTCGTCCGAAGTCCTCTTCCATAGTAGTTATCATAATTTCAAGTGCTAGACCGTGAACTTGGTAAACTCTCAGACGTTTCGCCAGCATCGTAGTCTCTTTGACGAGTTGTAGCTTAGTACCGAGACTAGAAAGACTCATTGATGATGCCGCCTACTACGCGGACGAAACGTTCGATAATGTACCAATTCAACAATCTGGCACTTGGAATTATAATAACTACTATGGAAGAGTATTTCGGACAAGGTGCGTCCAACCAAGTCACCCTGAAAACAAGACCAAGTTGTGAAAATGAGGTTAAACCACTTTTTTTTAATTAATACTTTTGCAAAAAAGATTTTGGTGTCACTAACCTCTCCTTTATCCTACGTTTGAACAGGTCCAATTCAGTTTGAACTTCGCGCAGCTCAACCTCGGCCTGTCGCAATTGGTCCTCAACACCTTCAAGGCGAAAAAGCT